TATCATGAATAAATATATTTGTCTGCCACTTGGCAAGCTTGGAGATAAAAGACTCTTTATTGATGATCCGTGGAAATGATTCCCGGGTTTCCTCAAATAAATTTCTTCACTAGAACAATGATTCTAGTCTAGCCAAGGATCCAGCTAAGATTCTAACCTAGCCCTCCGAGAATATGAATATATGGATGAAAGAAATGGGATTTTGCAGTCACAAATTTGGGGCATCCTTTTCCCTTTCATTTGAAAGCTAGATCCAGCCCTGAGGCTACAAAGGCTTAAGGCCTACAAGTCTAGGGCACTTGGGCGGCTCAGTGGGTTAAGCCTCTGCCTTTGGCTCAGGTCATGATCCCAGGGATCAAGCCCCTCATCGGGCTCTCTGCTCAGCGGGGAGCCTGCTTCTCTTACTCTCTCTCTGCCTGCCTCTCTGCCTACTTGTGATCTCTGTCTGTCAAATAAATAAATAATCTTAAAAAAAAAAAAACAACCGGGGCCTAAAAGAGATGAGAATGGGGCAGAAAGAGTAGAAAAGGGTTCAGAAAAGGATCCAGATATCCTGGGAGCAGCCTATATGACACCAGTTCAAGCGTTGGCCCTGCTGATTTGCCTGGCTAGGCTCCAGTGCATGGAATGCCCTGTCTAGGTCATCGCCATCCTAACCTGTCTAACAAATCTTTCTGATCAAATGTTAGCTCCTGTATCCAACCTTGACATGACCTACTTGCTGCTGTCCTGCTGAGATTGCCACATGATCAAGAACACACGGAATTCTATCAAGGAAAAGGAACTGAGGAATTACCCAGGCCAGTGGTTCCCGATTTTTTTCTTGTCTTTGGTCTCTTTACACTTTAAAAAGTTACTAAAGACCCAAAAAGCTTTTGTTTAAACAGTTTATATCTGTTGGTATTTACCGAATTTGAAATCAAAACCAAGAGGAAACATTTTTAATTCATTTAAAAAACAATAAACTAATTACATGTGAATGTACTAAACATATTTCTAATGAAAAATAGCTATAACCTCCAACACATTTTAAAGAGAAGAGTGGCAATATTTTATATGTTTGCAAATGTCTTCAATGTCTGACTTAAATAGAAGACAGCTGTATTCTCACTCCTGCCTTCTGCATGAATCTGTTGTGGATGTTGTTTTGGTTAAAGAATATGAAGAAAATCCAGCCTCACACTGACAGGGAATGGTGAAGAGAAGAAGCTTATTAATGGCCATTTCAGTTCATGTGGATATTCATTGATATTACACTAAGATTCTACAAGTGTAGTTTCTGAAAGGTGGGCTGCAGAGTAGAATCTGAAATCATTATCAATGAAATTTTTGTATTCTATTACATCAAAATCCACTGGTCTATCGTGCACTACCTGAGTTTATTTTTCTATCCCATAGATGATTTTTGATGCTGAGTGTTATGATCTCTATTTTCCAAGAGGAAATTCAATGAAAATGTCTCCTTAGTGGCAAAAATAAATAAATAAATAAATAAATAAATAAATAAGGAAAATTACATGTGGCATACAAAAGGAAGGTGACAACGGTGGCAAAGGGGAGTGATGAGATAAATTTGCAGCTGAGGAATAAGGACACCTGAACTACTGTTAGAGGAAAGAAGGAAAATTGGGACTGCAATTTTTAAAAATTAGCATTTATGGAGCATTTCTCAAGTGCCCATTAGAACTATCTCATTTAATCAGTTTTCTGTGTGGTAAGATGTATTATTCTTGTCTCAGAAGAGAGTGGTAAAGTGCCCAAGCTTCAGAATTGTGGGACTGGACTGCAACCAGCTACATCTGACTCAGTGTTTTGCAATCTTTAAAAATACAAGTTTTTTTTTTTAATTCCAAAAATAATGTATAAACTCTTAACACACAAGGAAAAGTAAAAGACAAAAACCTCTTGTTCCTTGTCCCCCACCCCTCTCCATTTCTACTGCTAAAAGTCATAGTAAATACAGATACCATATTTTCACGAAACAGAAAGTCACTGCTCGTAACTGCTCCACGATGCTCTTTACCACAAGCAGTGAAGAATCCTGACGTTGGTCCATAACCTGTCTTGGTGATAATGGAACTAGCAAGGGCTGAGATTACTGGCTATAACTCCTACCGTAGTACCAGGGTTTACACGATTATGGGTGGATTTCAGGTTTTGGCGACTTTCTAGACCTTTTTAGCATCATAGATTCACCTATCACTGTAGTGGGAGAGAAAGGAAAAATAATACAAAGGTCGGAAGAGAAGAGGAGATGAATGTGGGTGGTGAGGGCAACAAGGTAAGCATGGGGTGCCCTCAGTGGGTAAGTAGAAGTGTCAAGGAAAGTGGCCAGGTTCTCAGTTACAAAGAGCTAGTCTGTAACTTCTAGAGACTTTTTCCAGAAGTCAGATGCTTGGCAGTAAGAAGTCAGTTATTAATTTATATGTTTTTCCGGGGCACCTGGGTGGCTCAGGTGATTAAGCATCTGCCTTCAGCTCAGGTCATGATCCCAGGACCCTGGGATCAAGCCCACATGAGGCTCCTTACTCAGTGGGGAGCCTGCTCCTCCCTCTCCCTCTGCCCGCTTCTTCCCCTGTTTGTGCTCTCTCTCTCTTTGTGTCAAATAAATAAATAAAATATTTTTAAAATTATCTGTTTTTCCTCTTCCAAACATTGCTAAACTGACTTTCTCAGTTATTACTTTAATTTTTTTTCAAAGTTAGTAGCCAAGCTATTTACCTACCACCTATTAAAATAGGATGTGTAACATTCAGTTCTTTTTATGGAGGGGAGTGTCTTTTTTTTTTTTTTTTTTTTTACTTATGAAGCATTTATCATGGGGGGGAAAACTGTACCTATTTAAAAAAATCTCTTTTGTAAATTGTGATGGTAAATGTCACTATCTGTTGAAGGAGCCATTGGGCTCAAGTGAAGTTGTAACTAGAAGCCCAGTGCAAAAGAATACGCACAAAATCAATTCAACATCCACAACCAAGAGAAACGCCCAAGTGTTTCAAGATTACAGTGCTGAAAGCGTTTCTTTTAAAATATTCATCTTAGGAAGAGCCTGTGAAAGGGGATTTTTTGTTCTCTTTGATTGAGTCAGTATCACTAATAATAATGCTTTGGTCTCTCAAAAAGCCCCCTGAAGAGTCTTTTTCAATTTACTCATTTTTATTTGCTGTTCAGTACCTTTTACATTATATTTCTTAGACTTTTTCCCCCTCCACTTCTCTCATACAGCAGTGTAATCAAATTGAAATAACTAAAAGAGAGACTTTCTTTTTTTTCTTAACCTCCTCTGTTCCCAACCCCAACTCCTATTTCTTCAACCCAAATTCCTACAGGAAAATGGAGGAAAAAGAAAATAAGGAATGGGATGCCTTTCTACCTCTCAGCACGCATGATGGTCATGGTTAATCAAGAAAAGACTGGGTCAAGGTGCTTCCAGCCTTTCCCAAGAGCTATCTTTGCCCAGAAGCTTGAGCAATTTACCTGGATTCACTGAAACTTACTAGAAATTGGCCTCTTTTTTTCTTCTTCTTTTTTAATCTCATAATTCTTGACATTGGACTCTTTACAAAAACTGGGGAGTGAAAATAACTTGTAAGAACTTTTTTTTTCTTCTTTACGAATTATAGGATTATAAAGTAACAATAAAAATGAGTTTTCAGGATACAAGCCTCTGCACGTGGGACTCAGTGAAGAGAACCACTTCAGTTTGGGGAGTGGGGACAAAGCAGGGGCAGGAATATTGACCCCTGCAGTGCCCTAAGAGGATATAATTATACAAAGAACTATTTAAATATTTTTTACTTATAAAAATTTGCCCAATTATTTTCTTGTTTCATCAAATGTTTCTTCTTATCTGTACTTACTACAAATATAGTCATCTCCCCCTCCTTTTTCTGGTCTGCTTTTGTGGGATACTTCTATTTTACATTCTAACCCAGGCATTTTAAACCTGGGCCACCCCAATCTTAAAGACTGGATTCCTGAAACACCTCACTTGCATAAAGTGCCCCCTTCGTCAAAGCATGTCTCTCCCATTTTATAGGAGTCAACATTTAGGGTGCTGCTTACTGCCTACTAGAATATTATCACATTTAACCTGATGGCAATTTTCCCAGGGAGGAACTATTACTACTCCCATTTTGTAGATACTAAAACTGAGGCTGAAAGGGGTTGCACATGGCCACTAGCCTGTGGGCAGCAGAGATTCACTTTCAGGTGGGGTTCTGTAGACATTCGGGTTCACCTTAATAACATACTACACTGCATCCTTCCCTTGAAAAAGATCACATTTGATGGAAGCTTTGGGAAAGACATTGTCTGAGAGCTGACCTCCAGGAGACAACCCACCCCCAAAAAGCCGGCCACCCAGAACTTACTAGCGGGGGCTAAGTGCCTTTAAACCAACACACTAGGGTTTCCTGTCACTAGTTACCCCTGAGTTTGTTTTTACCAGGGAGACTCTGATGCCACAAAAACCAAGTAGCTTAGCCTTAGCTTAGCCCTGAGCCCACTTCTGCTCATGAAGATTAGATCCCGAGGGCCAGATCCTTCCTCCTATGAAGAAAGCCTAAGAAAATGGTCTCAGAAAGCAGTTCTCCAGAGTTTTGGTTTAGTTTAGTTCAAAACAGGAAATCATGCTCCCCCCACCCCCCACCTCCCTCTCACCTCCTAAACTCCAGCTGTATTTTCTCTTTCTGGTCAAGAAAACTGCCTTTTGATTTTCTAAAATAACGAACACACCCCAAATTGGGCAGATGTTTAGGTAGTTTTATCCTTCACACTTTCACAAATTTTCTAAATGTTCTACATAGGGGATGCAGCTTTTTAAAAAAGGCATTTAAAAAAAACCATATGATGATTTCCCAGGTTATTACTTCCCAAGAAAATTGCAGTGAAAATGGAAGAAAACAACAAGGAAAATGAGGTCGTATAAGTTAAAAACGCTATATAAACATTATTTGAAAAACAAAACAAAAAAAAAGCTCAACTGAAACACAACTTGCTGCTTGTATTATGATTTTATTCTGCCAATTAGACCTGAGAGTCACCCCCCAAACAGTGTGTGGGCTGTAGGGGTTCCTGAAGGACTTGCGATTGTAAGGTCTGGAGTGTGCTTTACGTGAGAGGAAGCATCCTGTGTGTGTGTGTGTGTGTGTGTGTAAATGTAAGACGCGCACCTATATTACTTTGTAGAGCATATAAATTTCAACATGGCCTCGGCCCCAAAAGACTCTTCAGGCACACTAAGCCTTGGGTTCTTGCCTTCCAGGAACCCTGGCCTCCAGAAGGATCAGAAGAATAGAAAGTAATGAGAGTTACATTTGGAAATGCAGTGATCCCAATGGGATCAGCTCCGTTCACCGAGAAAAAACCAATCCCAGTCTGGGGCCAAGAAGGCGCCTCTAAATGAACTTTCGTACCAAACTAGGTAAAGGGCAACAAAGACCACATTCCGACAGCGCCCAGGGCCACTCAGATTTCACAATGCCTTTTTTTTATTCATACAAAAATAAATTTATTTACATTTGCTAGTATTGTGATAGAGAAGCCTCGGGACAGCGGCGCGTGTCCCCTGAGCCGGGTCCTTAGGTACCCAACGGGCTCAGCGGACCACCCAGCGCACTCCTCCAGCAAGGAAGAACGTGGGCACGGGGAGGCTGTGCTGCAGGAGGAGGCCACCAGAGCTTGGGTAGGGGAGGCCGGCTGGGGGTGGTCGGGAGCTGGAGGGGTGCTGCAAAGAGGTATGGAGGAAGAAGTGGACGGAAGACCCGAACCTGGTTGAGTGCGGGGCGCGGGGGTGGGAGGCTCAAGTCTAGACGGGGAGGTGGGGAGGAGCACAGACAGAAGCCCGGCTAGGAAGGGGCGGGAGCCTGGGGGGAGAGAAGAGCTTGACTGCCACGAGGAGGCAGAACCGCCCAGTGCGCTCCCGGCAAACCCGGGCCGGGTGGTCCCTGAAAGCGTGCCTCCATCTCTCCCTGTGCAGAGGGCAGCCCCTTATCTAGGAGGCTGCTGCCCTGTAGGGTACAAACCTGGCCCAAGTACGCCACTCGCCCGTCTTTGCAATTTAAAAACACGCCCCGATGTTGGTCTCCCGCGAACACTGCTGTCTTTAAAGCCAATCATCCTGAGCACGTTCTAAGTAAGCATTGCCTAACCTAGCACACGCCTGTGCTGTGCAGAGCCGTGCCGTCATACACAGAGATCTGGCGCAGTCGGGAAACTAACTCCTAGGCGGTTTGGCGCCGGGTTAGTCTACTGCTAAAGTCCGAGGTTGGATCTGGTTCCGCGCTGTACAGACAGAAGGAAGCTCTTTTTGGAGAAACAAACTGTCCTCCCCGGGATCCGCAGCAGCCACAGCCCTCAGCGTCCTGCGATGACAGCCGCGCGGCCAACCCTTGGGGCTCTGATCCCGACACCCGCCATGTGTCGTGTTCACATTCGGGTGGGGAGCTGTCTAGGAGAATTGAGGAGAATCCGATGGAACTTTCCCGCATTCCCTGGCGGGAGGGGTGGTGGTTCTCACGCTCCTTTCTCTCCGCCCCCAAACACAGACGCTTCAACAATAATCCCAGCAACTGTGTTCGATCTAAGCGGTGGTCCCACATAATCTGTTGGCTGCCGAAACTTCTTTGGTGTCCGAGTCGGGTCGTCCTGACACCACGAATGGCCATGTCTGTAAAATCAAAAAGAGCGTCAGATACTGCAGGAGAAAGTACTGTCTCAAACCGAAACCGTTCTCCTAAGTGACCCCTGGAATATCCCTGGCTTTTAGTAGCTCAGATTTTATCAGTGTTCTGGGAATTTGGGTGTCTTCCCTCTAAACTAGGATTTTAATTTTTCTGAATTTTGATTGTGTGAGACATGAGACGTCTGTCCATGCTTCCTTCTGGTCTTTGCCCTCAGGATGATTCGGTGAAACTTGCATGAGTTTGGGATTTTGTCTGTTTAATTCCCTTCCCCCCAACGCGCGCACACACACACACACACACACACACTCACTCACTCTCTTTCTCTCTCTCTCAGCCCTCCATTCCGAGTAGGAACTGGAATAGGTTCTTTCTCAAGCCGGGAAAGTTGGCAGGTCGGAGAGGGACTTTCCAGACAAATCCCTTTTGGGGAAACCTTTCATATTCTGCAAGAACCTTTTAAAAAATCCAAAGGCTTTTAAATAGAGCTCGGGCCTTCCCTCCTTCCCTTCAGAAAATAGGGCTTGTTAAATCGAACCGGTCAGACTCTTAGCTGGAAAAAGTTGGGCGAGAGAGATTTGCCATTTGATCTGCAACCGGGTAGTGGATGTAGATGGAACCCAGACTCACCCCGGACGTAGGATATTAGCCAAGAGATGCCACGGGGCAAAGTACCAGGTACAATGATCAGAATGAAGAAAACACTGAAGGGTGGAAGGTTCTCCTCCAAGAAAGTGGCTTGGCCCTTCCCTTGGTTTTAAGAAATTGAACTGGACTCCTCACCACCCATTCCAGAAGCCCCCTTACAGGTTCCTCCCCCGCCGGCTGACTGTGCCTGGTGCCTGGGAGCTCCCCGAGCATATCCCGGCCTCTCGCCCCGGGCCTCGCGCGGGTGCCCCTACCAGGTTCACCGGGTGCACGTAGCCGTTCTCGTAGCGGTCCTCCTGCAGCAGCTGCCGCAGGTGCGCGATGTAACTGGAAGCCAGCCGGAGCGTATCCAGCTTCGAAAGCTTAGTGTCGGGGGGCACCCAAGGCAGGCTGGTCTTGAGCCTGGAGAAGGCTTTGCTCAGCACGCGCATCCGGGCGCGCTCGCGGGCGTTGGCTGCGTTCCGCTGTGACTGCTTGCAGTCGGCCGCCGAGCCCTTGGGCGGGAGGGGCTTCTTGCCGCCGCCGCCCCCAGCCACACGCGGCCGCTTCCTCTTGCAGCCTTCCGCGCCTCCGGCCGCGCCCAGCGCACACCGCTCTTCCTCGCCATCGGGGTCTTCCTCCTCGGCCGACGAGTTGTCACTGGGAGAGATGTAGCTGCCCTCGGCGCCGCGAAGGGACGGCCTCTTGGAGGCGGGGACCGGGTACCCCCGCTGCAGCCCCCGCAGCTCCATCTCCTCGGGGTCGCTCACCGAGCCGGTGGACATCACTGCGTCCCCCGCGCCCACGCGCGCCCGCCTTCCGCCCCCAGGCCGACCTAATGGTCTCGGCCTTCCGCTCCCTCTGGCGGAGGCGGGGGCCGGGCAGAACTCCGAGGAAGACTCGAGACCTGGGTAGGAAGCGCGGGGCCGCGGGAGCGAGCCCTGCCGCTGACCTGGGAGAGCGCGGCCGAGAAGTGGGCGCCCCTGCCCAGGCTCCGCGCGCACTGCCGCAAGCTGCGCCTTTTGACAGGACTATTTATTTGTACTCCTCGGAACAAACCACCCGGGCCAAGCAGAGGGAGTTGGAAAGGGGGGCAAGAGGTGGGGCGGGGGCGTGGAAGGGGTGGGGACCGCTTTTCTGCGCTCGGGATCTGTTGGTGGGGGCGGGGAAGGGGAAGTCTCTACCCACTGAGGTTTGGGGCCCCGGGTCCGTCAGACCCTCAGATTGTCAGTGAGAGATGAGCGTGCGTCGGGAGAGTGAAGGAGGGGACCTTGTTCGTACCCACTCTACTTCCACCCCCAACTAGTCTTAGCCAGGGCGAAGATTGCCAGACACTTAGGAACCCCGGGATCGCGACCTCTGCTTCTCTCCCTATCTTTTCAGCGGAACTCTATTTCCCAAGTTCAAAACGCGTAATGTATGACGGCCTACCCAAGGCTTGACCGATAAAAGCGTAAAAGCAAAACAAGCAAATGACACCGAGCAATCCGCCACAATTAACGAACCTCCCATTTTCCTCTTCCTCTTTTCCCTATAATATGGCTTTATGATTTACAAAACACGTTTTACTGCATTGGTTCGTTCCATTTTCAAACAACATCTGTGACTTAAATGTTACCTCCACTTTGCAGAACTTCAAGCTAAAACGCAGAGATAGGTATTTAAGTAAAGGACCCCAAATCTTCAGGCTGGTAAGTAGAATATGGACTTGAACTCCACGTTTAGCATCCCTGGCTCCTCCATATTTCAGTCGCGACACGCCTCCCCCGACACACACCCAAGCTATTATATTTGCTGTTTACCACTGTCTTGGGAATTTCATGCTTGATTTTGTTAATACCACAACGCATTTGATAGAGGATCTTGCCCCAATTCTTTGAGTTATAGTCTAGGGAATCAATTACTATTTTAGATTGTGTGTTGAAGAGCACACTCCAGGATGCAGATTGCTAACTCAGCACAATCTTCTAAAATAAAAATGACAAAACAGCATCCAGAACTAAGGTGTCCTATGTCAACCGAAAATAAGCCCTCTCCCCTCAGCCCCAAAGGAAATAAAAGGAAACTGCAGTCTCATTTTCTAACTCAAAGGATCTTTGCAGTACCTGGTCTAGGGATGGGTACTTCATGTTGGAGGCAGACACCACTGGCCAGCTACTGAGTGCCTGCTATGTGCCAGGCACTGGGCTAGGCACCTTATGACTGCCCAGTGAGGAATTAAAAGAAAACAACAAAATAATCAACTGCTATGAGGTTGGGGTATAATCCCTCTGTTTTACAATGAGGAAACTGAATCTTCACACTGGCTAATGTGTTTACTTGTCCTTCCCCTAAAGCTCATAGGTTCCCAAACCCAGCAAAGTGCAAGGAAACAAATGTGCAGTCAGCCCAGGACAGAGTGAGCAGAAGCCATGGGGCCAGCTTCCCTCCACTAGCTCCTCAGCAGAACAAATGCTCCCAGCTTCCTGCTTGAAGTGCCACAACAGGTGGCGGCCCCGGCTGACTTCATCGCTCAAGCAGCTTCCACCTTAGTCTCCCAGGCCAGCCCGCCCTCATGGGGGATGTTTCACATACCCCCTCCTGGTCACCCTCATTTGCAGAGGTTTTCTCCTTGTGTATTTTGTCATTTTGTTGAGAGATGGGGGAGGGGCTCCTTTTGGGATCAGTTGAGTAAAAATACCCCTCATTTCCGGTTCTCTCTGGGATGGGAAAAGGCAGGGAGTATAGGACTGAGTATGGAGTTCTTTATAGGAGTGCTTGAACTTGAACTTGACTTTAGGTGCACCAGGAGAAGGAGGGAAGAAAAAAATGAGAAGGGGGAGCAGAAAGATGTAAAAAGATCTCAGGCTAGCTTTCTGCATCTCCTATTGATGACTTGAATCTATCAGTATAAATACATAGTCTCACACATTAGAGTATCAGTATAAATACATAGTCTCACACATTAGAGGCAGGCATATAGGTTTTAAAAATCTGGATTGTTTATACAGGTGCAGAACAAAGTCTTTCTTTAGAAAAGATTAATGGTGGGGAAAGTGCTAGATTTTCTCTAAACAGTCACAAAAAACTGTACCCAGCCTCAACGCTAATCAGGTCATGGCCAGTTTCTTTTTCTTGAAGGAACTGACTGATCCCAACAGTTCATGCTTATTTTTTTTTCATAGCTTTTTCCTTCCTTTTTTCGTTTATGTTCTTTTCTTTTGATGCTCTATTTTTCCTTCTTTCTATTCTTTTTCCTTCCTCTGTATCTCTCTTCTTTCTCCCCTCCCTCCCTCTGTTCTCTTTCAGGAAAGACAGGTCTCTTTTTCTATTTTCTTTTATCTTTCTTTCATTTTTCCTTTCCTTCCATGTCTTTCTAGTTATATTTTCATTCTTTTACTCTTTTTTCAAGGTGCAGACTCCCGACGAAGATTAGTGTATCATCAAATACATTTCATATTAGTATATAACTGTAGTTTGCTTTAAACATGTTTGCAATATCTGACATTTGTCACCTCTTTACACTTTGAACATGCTTTTACTTTTCCTTCTCTCTCAATGCAACAGCCCCATGAGCTGAACTGTACAAGTATACTTATCTCTTCTGAGAGCTTGGCTGTTTGAATTGTTTGGCAAGTTACCATACATTGCAAATGAATAGTAAAGGCTTTAGTTTTGTATTTTTTTAAAGCATATTGAAAACAATTCCTATCTGTCCACGCATTGCAAGCTTTTAGATTTGTAGCATGAATATACAGTTGTTTATGGTATCAACTAATGGCCTTGAAATTCTTTAAGATGTGCTTTTTAAGTATGCAGTAAGGGAGTGGGTGGGCTTAAAGTTACACTACAAAATAAACATTAATACATTTAATAATGTCTTGCAATCCTGGTCTTCCTGCTTATTGGCTGTATGACCTTTGGCAATTTACTTTTTCTGACGCCCAGATTCCTAATCTATAAAATGAGTTATCTGCCTCATAAGGAAGAGGGTGTATGTATATAAGCAATTGCTTGGGCCAGAGCCCCATACGTAGAAGAAGATCAATAAATGCCAATTATTTTTATTACTGTGAATTGTTTCGCCCAACATCACACAGCTAAGTATCAGATTGGGAACTGACCCAGATTTGTGCTGCAGGACTTGTTCTGGGTTTTGGATGGCAACCAGGATGTTTCATTTGCCTTAACTGCACACGTCTACAGTTTGAAGGACATAAGCCCATTACTTGACATTTCCCAAAGGTCTTATAAGAGACCTCACTGAGGGAAAATGGAGAGGCGTGCATTAGAAACCTTTTCTTTTCCAAGTTCTCTTACCATAAAGTCAGAGCACTTCTCCAGTCCTCACTTTCCCTATTTGAAAAGTGGGATAAAATTCTAAAATCAGAGTTAATGAAAAGATTAAATGAGATTGCAACATTTGTGAAAGCACACTCAGATTTAACACAGAAAAGGCACTTAATATGTTAAAATATTTTAAAATGCAATATTTAAATATTTGAAATATTTTATAATATTAAAAATACCTAAAATTTAGTTTTTCTAAAAAGGAAGAATGAGGTGGGCTAATAATTACAGACCATGGAAAGTAAGCCATTTCTGGCTACTGCCCCTTCAGACTCTGCTGTAAGTACTAATTGGGGAAGTCTGAAGGTGGGCAGGTCATGTGGGTTTAGGGTTTAGGAAGAGCAGGGGTTTCATCCACCTTCTGTGAACACCAAGCCAAAACATTACTAAGTAAATGCTTAAGATATGGTTATTGTGGGAATGCATTTGAACAGATAGAGCCCTCCCCATGTGACTTTCCTGGTGGTATCTTCCTAAAGTTTCCTGATACCCTGAACTATCTGGTTGGCTGAAGAAACTGTCCATACCTTTGATCTAGAAAAATAAAGAGTGTCCAGCTGGTCACTGTGGGAGCCACTAGCCATATAAAGCTACAAGAACTTGAAATGTGGCTAGTCGTGTACAGCAGTGTATAATTGTATGCAGTAACAGTGTATAAATACAGCAGTGTATAATAAGCAGATATTGGAGACAGTGTGAATAAGAGAATGTCAAATATCTCATTAGTAAAATGAGATAGGTTTTAAAAATCATATAAAAAATGATAACATTTCGATATACTGGGTTAAAAGAAATGTTATTAAAACTAATTTCAGCCATTTCTTTCTGTTTTTATAATGCAACTCCTAAAACATTTGGAATTACATATGTAGCTCACATTATTTTCTTTTGGAAACTGTAGGGATTAATTTGCAACTATACGTTGTCTACTGTTTGCCGTGGCCCGTGTTGGTGAGACCAGCTCCCCTCAGAAGACACACTCTGAGGGAAAAAGCATGGTGATGTGGGGAGCACAGGTGACGGTAGGTACCCTCTCCCTTACTCTTCTCATCTTCCTGGCACCTCGCCGTGTGTACTCAACCTCATCTCACCCACCCAACCCTAGAACACGCTGAGAAACACTTCCGGTTGGGATTTCTGCCCCCTTTTGTAACAGAAGCCCTAGCCCTGGAGAAGCGTTAGTTGATTCCTCAGGCGGGACGGACACCCAGGGGACGTCACCCTGAGCTGCATGGCCTAGTTCATTAGTCCCTCGAACCAGCAGAACTTAAGGAGAAGGCCGCCTAGACCTGGGAGGCAAAGGATCAGGTAATAGCGTGCACGAGTCACGTGCTGGGCAGATCACGTGGCATGCGGGCCACGTGGGGGGTCACTTGGAGGCAGGGGAGGTCACCCTTACGCCAGGCCCTGGCCTGCCTTTCTTCTCCTGCACGAAGCCAGGGGCCCAGCGCCAGGTCCTCTGCAGCCTCTGTCCCGGGTCGTCCAGGATGTCCCCACACTCCCAACCCTGGAAGGAAAGGAGCCCCTGGCAGTTGGATGCCGCCAGCTCCGCGGTCAGCACCTGTGGGAACACTCGGAATGGATGGCCGTAGTTCTCTGTTATCCTCCACACGACCAGTCCTCCACTGCTGGTTTATTTATCCAAAAGTTGCA